TATAGCCCAGGTGCACATCTTGACCACGCTCTGGTGTTGTCTATGACCACTCATGTCAACAGCCTACCTGACAGCTTTACTGATGATGAACAGTTCAGCTCCCCTTCACTTCCTCTATTCTCAGCAGATGACATTGCAGCTAAGCAGCGTGACGACCCTGTTATCCGCCATGTCATAGCTCAGCTGGAACGAGGAGAATCACCATCACCATCGGTGAAGGAAGAACTTCCTGAACTGCCCCTTCTACTCCGAGAAGTAAATAAAATGGAGCTCCAAAACAACCTTCTCGTTAGGAGGAGACAAGTGGGAAGTGAAACAAAGTACCAACTAGTATTACCTGAGGGGTATCGAGCTGTTGTGCTGCACCAACTGCATAACCAAATGGGTCATATGGGAATTGACAGAACTATAGACTTAGTCCGTTCCCGTTTCTACTGGCCTAGGATGTTTATTGATGTTGTCAATAAAATCAGAACCTGTGAAAGATGTGTGAGACGCAAATCTTTACCAGAACGAGCTGCACCTTTGGTCAACATCAAAACCACTCACCCCTTGGAGTTGATGTGTATGGATTTCCTCTCTGTAGAACCGGATCGCAGAATCAAAGACATCCTTGTTATAACAGACCACTTTACAAAGTATGCCATTGCTGTGCCTACTCCAAACCAAAAAGCTAAGACCGTTGCTAAGTGTTTGTGGGATAATTTCCTTATGCATTATGGCATTCCGGAAAAGCTGCACAGTGATCAGGGTCCAGATTTTGAATCAAGAACCATCCGAGAACTCTGTAAAATGGCCAACATTCACAAAATAAGGACCACACCATATCATCCAAGAGGAAATCCTGTGGAACGTTTTAACAGAACGCTTCTGGACATGCTGGGAACATTATCTGAAAAAGAAAAAACTAATTGGACGGATTTTGTAAAACCACTAGTGCATGCTTACAACTGCACAAAAAAACGATGTCACAGGATACTCACCATACGAGCTGATGTTCGGACGCCAACCCCGCCTACCGGTGGATTTAGCTTTTGGACTGCCATTAAATGAGGATGGATTTTGTTCCCACACGCAGTATGTGCAAAAGTTAAAGTCCCACCTGGAAGAAAGCTACAAACTGGCCAGTAAGAACTCAGCTAAAGTGATGCAGCGTAACAAAACCCGATTTGACCAGAAAGTTACTGCATCAGAACTAAATGTTGGAGACAGAGTCCTAGTAAGGAACGTGCGACTAAGGGGGAAGCACAAACTCGCAGATAAGTGGGAGTCATCTGTGTATATTGTTGTGAAGAAAGCCGGCAATCTTCCTGTGTACACAGTCAGACCGGAAGGCCAGAACAAACCACTAAGAACCCTGCATCGAGACCTTTTATTGCCATGTGGATACTTACCTTTTCCTGAGGAAGAAATGCCTACCAGAGCTAAAAGGAAATCTCCTGTGTTTTCTCCAGTATCTCCTGATGATGAAGAGGGTCCATCAGAGGAAGAACTAGTCGATCCACCTTTGCACATTCCATCATCTTTTGAACCTGTCAGATTTACGATTGATATTGACCTGCCTCCTGTCGAGCAGTCTGTCCCAGGAACTGAACAGTTTGTTCCCATCACACAATCTCCAGTGCCTGTAACTGAAGAGGACAGTGATGCTGAGGATGATGAACCCAAATTTGTGGAAGGGGAACTTATGACTGTTAAAGAGGAACAACTAGCAGTAGAGAGTGAGGAACCTGAAATTGACTCTGAACAACTCAATCCTGCTGAAGTCTCCAGAGCTGACGGAAGACTCTCTCCAGATCCTGATACTCCAGAGTCTGACAATGCAGAACATGACACACAAGAAACTGATATATTTGACATTCCCAGCCATACTGAAGAACCTCACTCACCAGTGGATTCAGTATCTCTGGACAGTGAAGACCAACCTCTGAGACGTTCTAGCCGCACAAGAAATCCACCTGATCGATTACAGTACACTAAACCTGGCAAACCATTACTGAAAAGCATTCAGGCTTTGCTTCACGGTTTGAGCTCTGCTTTCTCCTTCGCCCTTCAAGAAGATGAAGAAGAACAGTTCATTGCTCCGTACTCCAATCAGCCTCCCATTTGCTGCCAGCCTGGTGCATGTACGAGGACGTACATGGGATCAGGAGGGGAGGGTGTAACCTGCATAAAATAAGAACCCGTATTTTATTTTGGCGGGTCAAATTGATAGCACCCTTTAAGTTCCGGGTCACAGGTGACTCAGATCTGAATAGCTGTTGCTGCTGTCGCTGTGGCTAGCTGCTCGTCTCGGCGTCTTCTAAACTAATAGAAGAATACGGCTGGATCAAGGCTTACTAAGACGGTCGAAGGATTTAACTGAGTGTTTTCTGTCGACCGCTCGACGGTCAGGTTTTTTTTCACCCCCTGTGTCACGTCAAGATGGCGAGCTACCGGATCACCGCAGCTTCGCGGTAGGATTTACATGAACCAAGTTACTTTCTCATTCTGAACTTATTTGCTTTGGGTTATGGACAAGAAAAACCCTACAACAATCAGACATTGATTGATGAACCGTTGAATCACTCTAGATTCATGAATGGACTAAAAAGGAAACTCTTGGGTGACATAAGGATTTATTGTTTTGTTGATGAGTTTGTTTGTTTTTGTTTCTTGTCGTATTTTTGGTTATATCATAAAAGAAGTCACTGTTGTTATAAATATTATTAATATTGCATACCTTTATATATATATATTTGAAAAAGACTCAAACTTGAATATAATAATTGAAACATACTTCGGTCTAATGGTATTTTGTTCACACCCACGGGCTCCATAGGCGAACCTATCTGAGTGCCTATTATAACTGGCTGCAGTCAGGCGCCTAGCCTTAAATAAGCGTTACACATTGGTCTGCTTTCAGACCATCCAGGAGTCTAGAAGGTAAAATCCTTTTAGAAAGATATAAATTAATGTGGTTGAAAAACTATATGCAAAATAAAATTGTACTTGGAAATTAAAATCTTAAAAAACCAGTCTTCTTCCAGGTCCATCTCAGTGATAAACTCTCTAAAAAACCTGTGGGCTGAGAGAGGAATTCATCAGAGATGATCCAGGAGTCACCTGGAGATGAATAGTAAAAGATATTTAACTCTAAACTCAAAACTCTGAAATGATATAGCTGGTCTCCAACTGTCTAAAGAGGTTCGGACAAATTCTGTCATTGTTGCTCTGTTGATTTGTTCGTTACCAGTTTTTTGGTGATATTGTATTTTCTTCCAAACAAACCGAATGTGCTCGAAATAAAGGGTAAATTTAACTAGATTTATTCCAAATTAGATTATGGTTCTGCAACAAAAGAGGATTTTATTTCAAGGCATCTATGATTAGAACCAATTAGAAGATTACTCGCTTTTTTTACCTGGTACTGCGTTAAAAAGCACGACCCCAAAAAAACAGAACAGAGACTCAAAATTTAAATGAACTACAGATTAAAACTAAAAGATGTTGGTAGGTCCTAGAGTTTAAATCACTTTGTCACGTTTTTACAGTTTTCATAATCAAGAAAAAACCCTTCATGTTAAAGATTTCAATTATCAGGATGTACTAGATTGCGTTAGATCTTTTATTTCAACACTGTTTTACCACAGAACATGTCAAAGAGCCTCACAGTGAAACTTGAGTACAGCTGAATGTGCTTTAGAGATTTAGTGTTGGTGTAATTCAGGATTAAACACACCTTTCAGGTCTGCCCTGTTTCAAATCAGCCTCCATCAGATTCACCTTCTTACCTGACAATATTACCACCTCTCTGACCAGTCATCAGGGCCAGATTATTACAAGCCATTGGTGAGTTTTATCTAGCGTTCCTGCCTGCCTAATTTTCCAAGCTTACCTGAACATTATCAGACCTGTCATAGTATGCTTTTCAATCTGTAACTTGTTTTCTGGGCCCTTACCTTGCTCTCGGATTCCACTGTGGATTGTCTCTGGATTTCCAATCACCTGGCTCTAACTCTGGAAAGGCTCTCGGATTCCGTACTCTGGTTTGTTTCCATGATCATTCTGCCTGTCTCTGGTCTCATGGATCTGACCCTGTGTATTTCTCTAGACCAACGACTAATCAAAGGATTCCTCCAAATCAGCCTGAACGGATTCAGGAATCCTCTGAGTTTCACCCGAGACATGAGAGACCGTTTGTACCATGACTCTGAAAGTTTGTCACCAAACAGACAGAAGGTTAGGGAACCAGAATCCAACACTAGAAACACGTCCCTCTGTTTCTGTCTGGTCCCTCAACGGTTCAATCTCCTTCCAGAAGTTCCAGTTCCTGACTCTGTTCAATCCCTCCTGACCTGTGGAAGTTTCATATTCCAATAAACTCTTTAGACGCATCATGGTGTTATGGTTTATTCCTGGGTCTTCCTTTTTCTGGTCATTACATCTGAGGTAAAACTAAACGTCTGCTTTCTGTTCCTTCTCTTAGGTTTCACATTCTCTCTTTCTCAGAGGAAATGTTCAGATAAAACATCCAGTGACTAGCATTCAATATTTCTTCCATTAATCATAGCTCTAAATTTACCTTTTTAAAAACAGGTTTACATTTAGTTTAAAGTAAAAAAAATCATCACAAATCTTGATTGTGCATTTCTTTTTATTTGATAAGAACGCTGCTCTCTTTTAACACTGTAAAGCCTGAATAAGCCTTTAATAATTGTTAGGAGAAATATATACATCTGTACTTGATTTGTAAGGTATCAGGCATTTCAATTCAATGTAATGAGCATTTTCTGCTCACTACATGTGTTTGATTGTACACATCAGGTTTTTCAAGAAAACATAACACTGATAATGTAGAGGTCTCAGAAAATCATGGTTCTGAAAATACTCATTGAATATGATACTCTTGTATTTACAAGGATGATAAGTCAATTTGCATTTGTTCATTCTTGCAATGTTCAATTTAAATCCAGACACCTCCCCTGCCTCTGTTGTATTAACTAATATTCAGGCCTTACCATTCTCTTCATATTTGAGTTTGGACAGATTCAGCTCCTCCAAGTTAACATAAATCTCCTCCTCTGGCTTCATCGGAGCGGCTCTCTCTGTGAACTATTCACAGGGAAGATCTCACCATTTATAAAGCAACAGCTGAGTGACTAAGTTTCTGTTCCTTTAAATCAAATACCACACACCTTAGAGGCTTAAAAGACAAAACAAACTTCTTGTGATCATATAACAAATAATGTAATCTTTTTTACGGAAAATTTCAATCTAAAAAAAGAAAGAAAAGACGATCAGAACAGTTTTATTGATAATTACTTAAAGGAATAGTACACCCAAAACATGATTAGCCTTCATTTTCTACTCACCCCCATGCTGAACAACACCCTGGAGTACTTTTTTGATATCTCAAATGCATCTGGAGATCTGGGAGGCTTCTTGCTGTCTGCTGACATTCAAATAATGGAGGTGCCCAGCAGGGACGTGGCTAGACCTATTTTAGGGTGGCTGAAGTCATCCCTTCGTTGGTATTAGCCACCCCATAATTATTTTGCGATTTTTATTGTTATTTTTTTATTTATTGATTTTTTTTCCATATAACCCCAAACAATTGCAGTAAAGCACTGAAAACGAGCCACCAAGAAGGCAAGTTAATCTGAAGATAAGTTCCTGTTAGTTTATTTACAAACACAATTATTTATACAATTATTAATATCGTTAGGATATTCATTTCCTTCATTGGCTCCGCGTCCAGCGTCACGTCACGTGGTACACGGCCATCAACTGGACCATAGCAGCTGTGCAGTGCAGCAACAGCGCGCCCTTTGAATCTCCACACAGTCATCGAGCTTGATTAGGAAAGTTATGGTTGCGTGCAGATACATACGGTGAGTTTGCCATTTGATGTCAGCGGTTTACATTTTCTTCACTTTACCTGGAGTGAGGAAAGAGACAATATAGGCCTAATAGCTTGTCTGATTCAGTAGGAATTACGTTACCATGGTGAACAAAGTCAGTGGTGTGGGAAAACACGATGTTGTTGTAGCCTACTAGCATCATTATAATAGTTTTGTCACAGGAGCAGTGATGGGCAGTAGCGCCGCTACATGTAGCGAAGCTATTAGTTTAACTACATTTTCAAGTAGCTTGACCGTAGCGTCGCTGCTTTATTTATCAAGTAACTTTCCTGTAGCGACGTTATTGTTTTGATCAAGTAGCGACGTAGCGTCCACAAACGCTACAAAATCCAGGGCAAAACTAAGAAATGAAACCAGGTTTTCTATTTCTAAACAACAATCAGCCACAAAACTACTGTAAATAGCAGTTTCAGCTGACGCTTTATAAGTGGCGTTGTTGTAATGTGTATTCTAATGAGTGCTCTTCAATGACGTCATTAATGGGTGTGACTATAAATTGTGGAGCATGTGCAATGTTGGTGAATGAAGGAAAAATAAAGTGGTGGCGTGTGACGTGTCGCCCAAGGAAACAACTTGGTGTAGTCGTGTGCTGTTATTCTCCGACTGTTCCCTGCCCTTATGATGACAGCGCCAACAGGTTATGGGCCCAGGAGGGAGATGGGAAGTCGATGGCAAAGATTGTGCTTTGATGGAGATGAAAGAAATTATGAGCTGTGGGAGGCAAAGTTTCTGGGACATCTCCGGCTGCACGGCTTGAAAGAAACAATACTGCGTAAGGTGGAGCCGAATGCAGATGAAGATGAAGATGACGACTCTGAGCTTATAGGAAGCCTAATATATCTCATGATGTGCACAAGACCTGATATTAGTTGGGTTGTAAGTAAACTCTCACAATATTTGTCACAACCAAGGGAGTGTAACTTGGTAACAGCAAAACATGTGTTGAGATACTTAAAAGGGACAATAGACAAGAGTTTATGCTTTAAGAGGAGCGAGCAGAAACTTCAGCTCGTAGCATATAGCGATGCAGACTGGGCTACTGATCAGAGTGACAGGAGAAGCGTTACGGGTTATTGTTTTAGCCTTAATAAAAATGGACCAGTTATCTCATGGAAGTCAAAGAAACAACAAACGGTGGCTCTGTCTACATGCGAAGCAGAGTATATGGCATTGGCAGCGACAACACAGGAAAGTTTGTATCTTGTACAGTTGTTGGGTGGAATGGACAAAGACTGCATGTATATGCCAGTTACAATATTTGAGGACAATCAAGGAGCAATAGCTTTGTCAAAGAACCCAGTATTTCGTCAGAGATGTAAACATGTTGATATCAAGTATCATTTTGTCAGATCTGCATTTTATGATGGAAAAATAAACATTGTATACTGCTCAACAGCAGATATGGTTGCGGACGTTTTTACCAAACCTGCCACAAAGCCAAAACTGGGAAAATTTATGCATTATATGTTTGGAATGTAAAATAACTTGTTTTAAATGTTCAAAAAAAAAAAAAAAAAAAAAAAAAAAAATTGGAATGACGATTGTATAGTGCAAGAGCAAGTGGGGGTGTTGTAATGTGTATTCTAATGAGTGCTCTTCAATGACGTCATTAATGGGTGTGACTATAAATTGTGGAGCATGTGCAATGTTGGTGAATGAAGGAAAAATAAAGTGGTGGCGTGTGACGTGTCGCCCAAGGAAACAACTTGGTGTAGTCGTGTGCTGTTATTCTCCGACTGTTCCCTGCCCTTATGATGACAGCGCCAACAGGCGTAGTAGCACAGGCACACTCCGTAGGGTTAAACAAGCGCACCTTTTCCGAGGCTGTCGTTCTATTGGCTGGAAAGGTTGCTAGGCAACGATCCAACTGCAGTCTGAGAGAGCAAAACAAATCCGCAAGCAGAGCGTAACTGAGACCCGTGCAGAGCGGAGATGGAGGCAAGCGAGAGGAAAAAATATCTGTGATAATATAGAAAATATCTGTTTAAATCTGAGAGAAGAAACAAAGATTTTTGAGAGAAGAGAAAATATTTGAGAGAGAGCGCATGTTTTGAGTGTGAGCATTATAAGTTTTGAGTGCAAGAAGATGAAATTCTTTTCTCTAATTGAAGTTATGTGCTCTTGCATTATGGCAGGATAATTCTCCCATATCTATGTGCCACCAGTCTGATAGGGCGACACTGTGTGATATGGTAGTGCTTCCTTGGGTTGACTATAGTTCTAAGTTGTACGTTTCATATACTGTTGATTTTGTGTTTTCATTAATACATTGTACTTAAAAATACTTCCTTTATTTGCATTAAAACTTTGTCAGACTGATGTGAAAAAGTCTCAAGGATATCCTTCTTTGCAATGATGCTATTGCCTATTGCCTACTGTCCATTTATGCAACTTGTATTTTGTGGTTAAACTTTAGATTAAGCAGAAATCTATCAAAGATAATGCTGCATTTATTGTTAAGTTCCTCACATATATGTGTTTCTCTCTGTGCCAGGTGTAGAGAAAGACATGCCAAAGTCCAGGTCACACACACACACCAAGCACACACACAGAAACAGGGTTATTGCAAAGCAGACAGGGGTTCCTGACAGGTTGTGGGTGCAGGGGAGATGGGGAAAGATGAATGGCCAGGTTAAGGGTTTATGAAGATGTTGGGAGTCTGTTGGTTAGACAACTGTCTTCTGTAGAAGGTTTCCATTATGATGAGTGGCGAACCACTTGCCTTCTTCCATTTATGCAGTAATGCATGGCACCTACCATTTACTCTTTGTAATTTAGCACATTTTAACTGGTGTAGTTTAGTTGGTGAAGTAGCATTAGTGAGGGAAGTGTTTCCCAGGTATGTTGCTCTTAAAATAATGAATTTATAGACAGCGCCTTAGAAAGTGCACTGAAAAAATTTCGGCGCGCGCTACGCGCGCGCAATATCTTACCTAGGGGCTAAGCCACCCATGTCTCTCAAACCTAGTGACGGCCCTGGTGCCCAGCGCCCGAGGCAGAAAGGTCCATAAAAGTCCACAAAAAACGTTTCAATATTCCTCCATACTGCTCGTCCAATGTATTCCATGTGTCCTGAGTGGGTAGCATCCAGAATTTACTCGAAACGAAGTCATTTAGAATGTTTTTAGAGCATAAACAGTAGTGTATAGGATTTCCTGTAAGCACGCACATGCGCGATCCCGACGCTACGGAAGCCGGCAGACCAACCCAGACGAAAGTGCGCATTCAGCTCGGCAAAGAACTCATGCTCTTCCTCAACACTGAAGTCCTCTGACATTTTTCTTTCGTTGTTTCTTTCTTTGCACAGGTAAACAGCACATTTCTTCTTCTACGCTTACATTGTTGGCAGAGCAGACGCTAAATGCGCACTTTCATCTGGTTTGGACGAGCAGTATGGAGGAATATTGACACGTTTTTTGTGGACTTTTATGGACCTTTCTGTCTCGGGCGCCATAGACCTCCATTATTTGAATGTCAGCAGACAGCAAGAAGCCTCCCAGATCTCCAGATTGATTTGAGATATCAAAAAAGTACTCCAGGGTGTTTTTCAGCATGGGGGTGAGTAGAAAATGAAGGCTAATCATGTTTTGGGTGTACTATTCCTTTAAGTCTTTGGCGCTCAGACCTCGGCAGGAAACATTAGCGCAGAATTTGCTTTGATATGCATAAACAGAGGTAAATAGTAGGGATGTTTCCCCCCAGGCCTGAAACTGGTGGTGGAGTGGAGAGGACAAAGTTGGTCGTGAGCTGATATTAGTGCATCACCCTGGGACCTGAAAGATGGAAGTCCAGTTTGGATAACACAGGTTGTGTAAATCTGTCCATGATGAGCAAGCATGAAGCGACAGTGGAGAGGAAAAACTCCCCTTTCTTGTAGTAAATAGAATTTACCTTCATTACACTTCCTCCTCTTGAGCATTTATGCAAAGTAAGCTTGAAATAATAATGTTTGTGGCAGAAACGTTCCTCTGGACAGAACGTGTGGGACACTTTCAAAGTCAAAGAATCCAAAGGTTTCATTCATATTTATACGCAATGTAAGTTTATTTCTATACAGTAGAAAGACAATACAAAGTGCTTTACATTAATGAAACAAGCAAGCAGTCTCAGTTCTTTATGGCTGTGATTCATTAAAGGCAGTGAAGAGATATCATGTATTACTTATTTTCACTAACAGAATAAATCTATAAATATTTCATTGGGGGATTGGGGGCAAAAAGAGGCACTAAATGTCTAGGCAGGGTAACAAATCTAGACCCCTTCATCGAAATGCAACTGAAATCTTTTATATGTAAATGGAATCAACAAAACATAAATGAAAACACTTCCTAAATGTCAAAATCCTTTTCTCTTCGAAGGAACAGAAACTATTTTTAGGCTGACAGAGGATAAATAAATGTTCTGCAGAAATAAAAAATAAATAAATAAATAAAAACTGAAGAAAAATTTGTGTAAAAAAAAAAGAAAAAAATAAATTTCTCAGCCTTGCGTACAGGTTTTTTTTTCCAAAACTAATTGTAAAAAACACCCCAAGTGTCCTCTGACAGAACAGGTGGAACCTCAGATTGTATTTAATAAACTCTTTACCATAACTGCAGCACTTATATCCCCAGCCTGATCAGCCCATAAGTCAAACAGGATCATTAATTCTCCACCGGCGACAGCAGGGGGAGCTGTTGAAACAGCATCACTAAGTGTCACATTTCAAGTGAATGTATAAAAATCAGATATAGAAAATGTATCTACCAATAACCCTGTGTCGCAGCCTTCTGTTCAAACAAAAATAAAATACCAAAATTTCCAATGAAGGCCGGGGGTGGTAACTGTTGGTTTTGTTTTTGTACGCACTTCCAGCTTGACTTAAAAAGCAAAAAAAAAAAAAAAAACTACTTCAAATGTCATGGAACTTAGTAGAAACGAAATTTAATGTTTTAAGCTCTCCAAAAAGTGGTCAAAAAAATCATTTTTCAAAACCTCCCGTCCACACTAGACATTTACCAAACATCCTCCAACATCTGCTGTGCTCCTAATCACTCAAATTAAAGGGAGGGTCTAACAATTAAGAACTTACTCCAAACAATTCCAAATGTAAAAAATAAATAACAAATTTTGGTTCTTAATTAACTTAAATATATTTTATATACCAAGGACAAAAACTAAATTGGTAGAAATAACAAATGACAAAAATTTAGCATAAATGGCTAACCTGACTCCGCCAGATGGATTTGCTCCGCCAATCCATCTGGAAACCTTCCGTTGAAGTAATTTTGGGAAGGGGCGAAAATACTGGTTAGCTGATTGGCCTATGTTGGTGATGGACAGGCCAAATAAACCAATCAGATCAACGAAGCATATGACGTACTAACAGCCAGGCTACTCTTGCCGAAACCAGTCGGGAGAAGAGCAAAAACATCTTTTCCTCTGAGAAAAGCCTCCAGAGCAGTGTTTTGCTCTTCTTTCAGTGAAGAAATACTCTGTAATTCCGATAAAACTTGCTCGGTAGCCACTCTAACGCTAGTTTCATCGACTGAAGCCGCCATGTTCTTTAGACTGAACTGTCGCGCTTCTCGTTGCGTCACACCTCAACCCGCCTCAAAGCCAACAACTGGTGAACATTCTCAGTCATCCAATGTTGTAGTCATTCCAAAAAAGTACAAAAAAAAGAATCCACTAGACTTTTTTTTTTTACAAGTTTGAGGACGTTTGGCTTCCCGTCCAGCAAGCTTTTTCAATTCAAAATGTCAGGGATGGCGTGGAGTTCGAGGCTTTATTGAGAGGACCAAAAACAAAACCTGGTTTTGGCTCAGAAACATGCAAATTGAACCAGATGAACGGGTCCGCCACTTTGGAATGGGGGTCGTTTGGTTTGTTTGTTAGCCTGTAATACCCCATGCCTGTCTATGTCTCTGAAAGAGGGGTCTTTAAAGGGAATTGTCTTCTTTACTTTTTTTTTTCTATTTGGGCACTGACAAATTTTAAGAATTTAATAAAATGTAGTTACTACAGGATGTTTGATATAAATCACTTTATTCAGCCTGTGTTCTCAAGATGTCTGGTTTAAATTAGTATATTTATTCAAGAGTAGTGTTTTTTATTGTGGGGCTATGATTGCTATGGCATTTTTTTTTTATCGACATCAGATTGCACCAGTATATTGTGATAAGACCTAAGGCCATATTGGCCAGCCCTAAACAGCGGGATAAACCTGCCTAGATAAATGTTCAGTAAACCATATCTATAACCATATTTGGACCAGAACCAACCCTGCCTGATGTCTGTTTGTCTAGATGGTGATCAGCCAGCCCAGCAGCAGCAGCAGCCTAACAGAGCTAGTATGTATGGACGTCCACCCATCCAAAGATGATTGACGGTCACATGACCCCACAGACGGTGCCATCACCGGACTGCTGAGACCTGTTGACGTTTCCCGATGCTCTGGACATGTTTAATGAGAAGGAATCTTTTTTGGTGGGACCCAGTATCAATGGACGCTTTCAAAATAAAAGCCTCTCGCTTCCTGGGAAGATTCCAGAAGAAAACGTCATTGGGATTACTAGAACTGAACATGAGCTCAACTTTATTCGCACACTGCTGATGGACAGACAACAACCCGTTCCAAATTAATGGATCTGGACCCAGTTGGGGCCCAGTTGAAATTAGAACTGAATCAGTGAACTGAACCGGGTCAGTCTTTGCAATCATGGACCTTCTAACTGCCTGATGTGCAGAGGCCTAATAACGGCTGAACTTAACTAGTAGCTGGTATCAGTTTCCGACCCAGTGTCCCCGTTTGGTGACAGACTCCACCTCTGCAGAACGGAGCGCCAGTCAGGATGGTTCTGATGATGAACATGTCTCTAATTCCAGCTGACCGGGTCATTGATGGATTTGCTCCGCATATCCATCTGGAAACCTTCGGTTGAAGTAATTTTGGGAAGGGGCGAAAATACTGGTTAGCTGATTGGCCTATGTTGGTGATAGACGGGCCAAATAAACCAATCAGATCAACGAAGCATATGACGTACTAACAGCCAGGCTGCTCTTGCCGAAACCAGTCGGGAGAAGAGCAAAAACATCTTTTCCTCTGAGAAAAGCCTCCAGAGCAGTGTTTTGCTCTTCTTTCTGTGAAGAAATACTCTGTAATTCCGATAAAACTTGCTCGATAGCCACGCTAACGCTAGTTTCATCGGCTGAAGCCGCCATGTTCTTCAGACTGAACTGTAGCGCTTCTCGTTGCGTCACACCTCAACCCGCCTCAAAGCCAACGCTGATTGGACGTTGGTTAGGTGAACGGCTCCAAATTTTCCTCAACGGAGAGTCTCCAGACTGATAAGCGAGTGAAATCTTGAAAGCTCGCGGGATCAGGATGGTCTCACGAAGCTAATTAATGGCCACAACACCCTAAAATACATCTTCATCGATTCGGAATGATTAAAATAATCACCCAATCAGCATAAAACAGGAAATCAGAAATGGTCAAAATAAAACTCTTGACAGGTCTAGTAAATATTAGAGCTTTGATATTAATTGCATTTGCATTATAATCACAATTTAGCAAAACACAATTTTAAAAATAGCAGAGGCACTCAATTTTGTTCCCAGTACATTTAACAAGAGCAACACGCTACATTTCTCAGTGCCTTTAGGTGGCGGTAATACATTTAAAGTGGGTTTGCTGCCACCCAGAAAGGTAGAGAGAGTTCCAGCTCGCGCGCAGATCTAGATATAGAACTAGAAGTAAGCACTTTTTCACCAAAAGGTTACAGTATAGACATAAAACAGTGGACTCTGGACAAGCAAGGTTTTAAGGCAAAACATTTTTTTTTTTAAATGAAACCCTAAAAGAAAACATCTACAAGCTTGTGGTTAGTGCAAAAGAAAATCTAAATAAAATCACAATATTGGTTAAAACCAGTGGTGTCAAAAGTAAACTACTTAAGTAGAAGTATAGATACTGTAGTTTAAAAACACTGGTAAAAGATGAAGTATCAGATTGACCTCTTTATTCAAGTAAAAGGGAAAAAGTATGTGCTCCAAAAACGACTTAAAGTATAAAGTAACGTTTAAAAGAAACAGCCAGATGCCACTATATGAATTAAAAGCTCAATTTTTCGACTATTTTGAAAAATTCTTTGCGATAGGGCCAAGGAGGAGGGAGGTCTTGTTGGTCTCCGTCTCCCGATACGCTCTCGCCTGTGTGCGACCTTTCAGACATTTCAACGTCTTTTTCCGAATCCATCATTGTAGCATGGCATAGACAATTCACGTTTGCAGTTTGAAGAACACCTGCTTGCTTCTGATGATTTCCTTTAGCTAACCAATGAGTGTTTGCGTTCTATGACTCATCCAATTACACTAGTTTCACTAGATGTGGATGGTGCGAGTAACGTTTGTTTTAAAAATGTAAGGAATAGAAAGTACAGAAACTTGTGTGAAAATGTAATGAGTAGAAATATAGAAGTAGGAAGAAAAATAAGCAATGGAGTAAAGTATAGATACCTTGAAAGTGTACTTAAGTACAGTAACAAAGTATTTGTACTTCGTTACTTGACACCTCTGGTTAAAACTCATCTCAATTTAGATTTTTGTTAAAATTGTTCAGCCTTAGTAAACATAATCCAGCATGGCGTGGGCACGTGGATAGCTCTGAGACCCAGGAGTCCCACCTGGAATAAAATGGAGAAGCTGTTTGCCCCAGTTTGCGCTCCAGATTTTCCTTATCAACCAGCTGAAGCATTTGGCTGCCAAGTAAATCGCTGCAACTTTGAAGAGAGTTTTTAGGAACTTGGAAAATCCTCCTCCACCTCCGCTGCCATACCCAGCTCCATATCCAGCTCCATAACTTCCTCCGTACCCAGCTCCATATCCTGCTCCACTGCTGTAGCTTGTCCTGTAATCGTCATAATAATCTGCAGACAAAAAGTCACAAAAAAGTCAAATCTGAGACTAAAACAGTACATTTTGCTAATTTTTCATTACAATCAAACAGGTAAAGTTAGTTAACATGATAAAAACTGACAAATTAAGTGTTTCTTGTTCATATTGTGTAGCAATATGGATCTAACTAAGGTACTAAAGGAGATCCAGTGTGGTGATGGGTGAATAAAAACCATTGAACATTCCTTAACATCCCAAGAACTCGAAGGAGTTAATCAATCTGAGTGTTTTACCTTCATACCGAAGCTCCCAGTCGGATTGGCAGGAGGTTGCATTCAAAGGCTTTTGTTTCCTTTTGCTTTTCTTTTTCTTCTTCTTCTGCGTGGAGTTGTAACAAACAACACTCCCGTCTGTGCTGATGTTGGACCTGAACTGATCAGAGTTCAGTTGGTAGCTGAAGGCCTCGCAGAATAACCCAGATGGATCGTTCTCCTCCGTATCCTGAAGCATCTCTACATCGTCATAGTAACCGATTTGAGTGAGGAGAAAGCTGAGGTCCAGCTCTGGGTTTTGTAGAACCCGGATCAGTTCCGGGCTGACCTCGTGGGTTCCGTCGGATCGGAACCTTCCAAGGTCTCCGTCGTCATGTTCTGTGACGTACACCTTCTCCACTACCCTGGTCTTCACCTGGCAGCTGATGATGAGCCGGTCGCTGTTGGAGCTCCTGTCTGCCCCGTGGTTTTCCCTCACAAACGCCGGTAGATCTGCGGACTCCGGGTAGGACAGTGTGTTCAGATTTCCAACCACGAAGTAAACAAGCTGGACAGAAAAGACGAAGAGAGACACAATATGAATGAGAAGGGCTGCATAAAGTTTGGTGTTCAGCTAAAGTTTCTGTTGTAGGAACAGAGGTTCCTTCAACTAATTGGACACCATAGATTAATAATAGCATGTCATGAATATGTATATAAATGTAGAAAATTACTTAGTGCAGATGTGTGGTGAGGATAAACCTCTGATGTGAGATTCAATCCAGGCAGCCATATTTGCCCATGTTGATTATTTTAACTCACTATGAGCCATTTTATTTTTGGTTTAAAATATACCTTATTAGTCTTTCTTAAACGTAAAATAGATACAGTTTTACACTGAAAGCGAACTATTCTTTATAATAAACAAAAACAAAAAAATACATGTATATTTTTTTACATTTTACCCTTTGAACTTTATATAAAACATCCAATAAAGGTTTTTTTTTTATATTTCAACTGTTTATTTAGAAATTTACTAAAACAACTTTTTAGGATTAATCAATTTATTTTAAAGATAATCTTTAAATTACAAAGATTATTATTAGCTTTTTTTTTATTTCCATGTGAAAAATAAACAATAGGATCAGTGAAAATAAAATGAACCACACCAAGAAATCCCTGATTTGTAAAATACATAAAAGCTACAAAGCAAACAAAAATGAAAATAGAAAGCAAAAACAAGAACACAATTAAATTAAGGAAGATAATAGAAAAAAATTTATTATTAAAGTAATCAATCGTTGCATTGACCGAGGAGTGTAGACAAGGTGTATATATGTGACGCTGTAAACACCACAATATCCACATTTTGGGACAATAAAGGGATTTTCTATTCTATTCTATTTTAATATGTAATTTTACAGCAAATTCAAATGGCCCTGCAAATTGAAAAAAATAGACTAATATAAAAAACAAATGTAAAGGAAAAAAATTCTACAAGTAGAAAAACTGCAGGTCAAGAGAAGCAGCAAACTAGCACTGACTGACAGAAGTACTCCAAACCACTAGGGGGAGACGGTCATCAACTCATATGGCATCAGAAGATTGACATTACCACAAATTTATATGTTTCGGACAGAGCATTAGTAAAACCTTAAATGGGATGTCCAGACGACACCAAGAGGAAAGAAAGAAAAGGAAAATTTCTATTTAAATCTTATTTTCAGTTAGAATCCCATTTATGCTTTCACTAAGGGTTTGTGTCCATACATTTCAATATTGAAGTAATGTCAATGTTATTGTTCTGTATGAGTTGATGATCATCTCCCCTTAGTGATCTGGAGCATTTCTGCCATGTGACGCTAGTTTGAAGCTTTTCTAACCTTGCGGTTCCTAAATGCAGCATTTTTCTTTTGCATGTCATTTGTGTGTTTTTTTGCATTAGCATCATTTATGTATTTGCAGTAGGCTTTGTGTGTGCAGCGTGTTTCTACTTTACTGTTCTGTATTTTCTGTGATTGTAGCTTTAATCCTCTGGAGCATGTTTTCGTTTCTGTGTCTGTTAATTAGTCTGATTTCAAGTTTGCAGAACGCTTTGAATTTGCTACAAAATAATCTATTCATTTGCACCCCTCTGCCACCGTAGAATCTAACCTGTTTTTCTCTCTTTAAAATCACTTTGACACAGTTCATGTCTGGCTTCAAGCCCATAAATTGATTCCTAATAAAACAAAATCACACTATCTTGTTTCAAAACATAAAGCCAATACCTGGCTGCAAGCTTTATCTTACATGTTTGAAAATGACATCAGCTGTTCCAGTTGAGCAGTTTAAATTTTTAGGCCTCTGGTTTTCTTTTTCCTCTCATATATATTCTGTTACAAATAAAATTACAAATTGTTTGAAACCTCTTTATCTAGAAATTAATTGTTTTTCTCTCTTAGTACACGAAGAGGATTGTAACACAAGTACTACTTTCTATTTTGACTACTGTGACCTCATTTATTAGAATATAACATCTAAAAATCTCCAAACACGTAATGTTGTAAATATCAGTGTGCAGGTTTCTTCGTTGAGGCCCTTTCAGAACCCACCACCGTCTTTTGTACCAGGATCTATTCTGGCTCACTTCCTCCTACAGATGATTTCACTGGATACTTATATAATCTTAATTGTCCTGATTATTTTAAACAATACCCGATTTAATTTAGAACATCCTATAGTCTTAGACATGCAGCACAAATATTTTTATTGTGCTGAGAATCAATAAGGAAACAGGAAAAATGTCACTTAAATATGAAGCACCTTTTGATCGGAACAGTTTCTTGTCTATAACCTGTTTATGTATTTAAGATAGCCCTTGCTCAACATCTTTAAAATATTTTTAACTGTTTTTGACTCTTTTTTAGTGTGGGCATTAAAGAAAATATAATATATTGGAATATTTGTGCTTTGTGTGTTTGAAAACAAGGTGTGATTGTGTGTGTGACCATCTGTTTATATATGTATTTTCCTGTGTTGTTTATACTGCATTATCTGTTTTCTTTATCTGTCAGTTTTTTATGTTTTATGTCCTTTTGCTTAATTTTTCCACCTTTCGTTCAAAGACCCCTTTGAAAACAAGATGGCTTCATCTCAAGAGGTTTATTACAAGTTTCTGTACCTGTGAAATAAAAACATTCCTCAACTAATGTCTAATTTAAAGGAATAGTACACCCAAAACATGATTAGCCTTCATTTTCTACTCACCCCCCATGCTGAACAACACTCTGGAGTACTTTTTTGATATCTCAAATGCATCTGGAGATCGGGGAGACTTCTTGCTGTCTGCTGACATTCAAATAATGGAGGTCTATGGCGCCCGAGGCAGAAAGGTCCATAAAAGTCCACAAAAAACGTGTCAATATTCCTCCATACTGCTCGTCCAATGTATTCCAAGTGTCCTGAGTTGGTAGCGTCCATAATTTACTCGAAACGAAGTCATTTAGAATGCTTTTAGAGCATAAACAGTAGTGTACAGGATTTCCTGAAAGCGCGCGCCTGCGCGTTCATGACGCTACGGAAGCCGGCAGACCAAACCAGATGAAAGTGTGCATTCAGCGTCTGCTCTGCCGATAATGCAAGCGTAGAAGAAGAAATGTGCTGTTTACCTGTGCAAAGAAAGAAACAACGAAAGAAAAATGTCTGAGGACTTCAGTTTTGAGGAAGAGCATGAGTTCTTTGCCGAGCTGAATGCGCACTTTCATCTGGTTTGGTCTGCCGCGGGTTTCCGTAGAGTCGTGAACGAGCAGGCGCGCGCTTTTAGGAAAAAAGTACTCCAGAGTGTTGTTCAGCATGGGGGTGAGTAGAGAATGAAGGCTAATCATGTTTTGGGTGTACTATTCCTTTAATTCTTCAGACAATTGATAAGTTTTCTGTTCATCATCCTAAACATGCTAAATAAAGAGAATGAGTAAAGAAAAAATGACTAAAATGTAAATGAAAGCAGAACTTCTGCATCCAAACACAGCTAACATTTAGGATTTATATCCCGATCTCTGATGCGGTCGGGATCTAAAGAATGACTAACATGAATAAAAGACCTGCAGACCTGTCTGGTGCTTTTTTGCTTCTTAGGTTTGATGAGAACAGGAAGAAGTTCCTCCACGTTCCCAAACTTGTGGAAGCCGTAAACCCCTTTCTCCGGTTGACACTCTGAGACCAGCTGTGGTAATCAATAAAATCAACCATGTAACATGTTTGAGTATTCGTTAACAGCGATGTGGCTGGACAACGGTGAAAATTTCTCACCTTCATGATGTCCACAGAGTTATCCAGTTCAAAAGACACGCAGTGGTTGGAGAACCAGAACAGCAGCTGGAGGCCGTGTCGTGGAAAAGGACGACCAAACCCAGAATTATTGAGGTGCTGGAGGGTTGCGAGCTGCCACACAACCATGGTGACGCCAACATGGACTCTAGCTGATGTTTGCTGCGATAACTTTGAAAACATTAAAGGTGTGGAGCGTTACATCACAGGATTTTAAGAGAAGAGTTTATTCAGGCAGAAACACACTTCTCCCCCTGATAGTGTAACATGCACCAACAAGGAAGCAACTGATCTGAATTGAAAACTATTCATAATATTAAAAGTAAAACTTTCTAAAAATACTAAATACATCTGCAAGTACCAGACATCCCACACCAGAGGCCCAGGCAGTGTCAGCCTGCCAGGTGATCAACAGCTTAGTAACTTACTGGCAGCAGTAGATCATTGCAGTTTTTGGATTTATATTTGACCATTTTTAAAGAAGACTAGAAAATCTAGAAAATCAGCTATGGAGATCAGATAGAAATTACGTGTCTAATTAAAAAAACAGTGATACTTCAAATATCTATTTGGGGAATTTTAATGTTTTTTGGGCCTTATGTATTTGCAGATTTATTATCTTACACATTATGCTAATTTTTACATAAACAGTAAAACTGTAAAGTAAGTAAGGAGTTTCATAGTTTTCATAGTTTTGACTTTAATAAACACAGGGCTGTCAACTCTCAAACACTGGGAGTAAGACTGACCCATCTGAGTGTCTTCACACACTCTCACTCCACGTACCCAATTTCTCACACTAAAAAATGACACACATTAAAACTCAACTCTGTTCCACATATGTATAAAAATACCATGGTGATCAAAATCCAGTCCGTGTTTTAAATACAACCTTAGTGCTAATTTAAATAATTATTGCTCAGTCTAGTTTAATAATCTCCCTTTGGCATTTAGGAATAATTAAACCAATACAATTATGTTGATTCTTAAAGCTTCCAGGTTTGCCTCTCAAACCCATAGGAGGTCCACAAAAAGGAAAAGAATTTTATTTTTCATTTTTTATTTTGCATTTTATTTTTCAAAAGATCAGCCACCCAAGAAAAGACCAACCACATTAAGAGAGGATGTGCAGAACAACTCAGTTATCCAGGATTCATAGAGGAGAAACCACAGGGATGTTCTTCTTTTATTATTACTGATCTTATTCATTTATCTTTATTTTGGTCTATTGAATATGTTTAAAAACTTAATTTCCATCACATCTTCCAAACTGAAACATCCAGAGAATTGCTGTCTCCTGTCATGCGGAGTTTTTATAAAAACCTACAGCTTCCTAGAAGCCTGAATTGTTTAGCCGTTTTGTAAGTTGTAAGAAAAACTAAAAACATAATGAATGAATAAAGATTTTTAATCCTTAGCCTATTACCAAATATTCATATACACAGAGTAGTTTGCACTGCACTGGCTCCTGTATTAGTGCAAGTAAACCAGTAATAACTTATAGGTCCCCATTGTTTAATTTACTTGAACTGCAGAGAATAATTAAAGAACCAAGTTGTGAAATTCTTAGTTTAAAGTATATTTCAGATGCAAGTATTTTAGTAGGGCTCATTCTGCTTTATTTCAATTCTCTAAAAATCACCAGAATATAGAAAAGAATGTATATTGTGGGAAAAGGTTTAGTCATAAATACAGAATACTTATTGTTACTCAGTAACATTTACTGTGCTATAAAAAAAATCCACATTTTACAGCTTTGTTTCAGTTAAATCCTCTGAAAACTCATCTAATCCTGACAGGGTTTTCTGTCCAAACTATTTCTAAATCTCACCCCCAAGGTTTGGTGAAAAGTTGGCAGCCCTGTAAATAAGTCGTGTATACAGATGAGGTTAAAAAATGAAGCGCGAAATTAATTATATACATTTAAGTAGTCTGTTTTACCGTTTGTTTTGCTCTGTTTCTGTTTTCCCTCGGCTTTCTTCCTTATTTTCCGGGAGGGGACGCTCAGCTGTGCGTCAGCTACGGGCTCGTTCACGACCCCTCCAAACGCGCGTTCAAGTGTGACGGCGTCCGTGCTGCGTCAGTTGCGCGCCTCCACGCTCCCGATGCTCTCCTTTCCCCGACAGCCAGAAGATAGATGTTTCGATTTCAGGTAAGCTTTAACCTTAAATACTTGCCCCAGCTTTACTATGGGGATTAACTTTAGGCTTTTACAGAGGTTTTCTCGAGAGTCTGGTCTGTTTTGGAGTAATATGTCCCGTCCTGCTCCTTGTTTTGTTCTCAATGCGACCAGCGGCCTTTGAAGCAGCGCGCTTTCCTGCGCACCTAGGGAGAGACAGAGAGCGCTCCCCGGCGACCGTTAACCAGAATGAACCGGTGGTTTGGTGGGTCGGCTTCTGCTGTACCGGTTCAGATTCTGAAAGTTATTATGACGACATTTAATGGAGTTGGTTTTATGTGAAAGTTCTCCGTCTGCGTGGTTCCTAGCGTGATGTAACGCCAGTGTTAGCAAAGATGCTAACTGGTCCTGTGTCTGACTGCAGGCTGGCTGGGGGTCGTGAACATAGCCGGTACCCTGACAGTAATTAGATGTTTTTATTTTTGTTTTTTCTAGGTACACCTCAATTACAGGTGCTGGTCATAAAATTAGAATATCATGAAAAAGTAGATTGATTTCAGTAATTCCATTTAAAAAGTGAAACTTGTATATTATATTCATACATTACATACAAACTCATATATTTCAGATGTTTATTTTGTTTAATTTTGATGATTACAAATGACAACAAATGAAAATCTCAAATTCATCATATCAGAAAATTAGAATATTACTGAAGACCAATAAAAACAAAGGATTTATAGAAATGTTGGCCAACTGAAAAGTATGAACATGAAAAGTATGAGCATGTACAGCACTCAGTATTTAGTTGGGCCTCCTTTGGCCTGTATTACTGCAGCAATGCGGCGTGGCATGGAGTCGATCAGTCTGTGGCACTGCTCAGGTGTTATGATAGCCCAGGTTGCTCTAATAGTGGCTTTTAGCTCTTCTGAATTGTTGGGTCTGGTGTATTGCATCTTCTTCTTCACAATACCCCATAGATTTTCTATGGGGTTAAGGTCAGGAGAGTTTGCTGGCCAATTAAGAACAGGGATACCATGGTCCTTCAACCAGGTACTGGTAGCTTTGGCACTGTGTGCAGGTGCCAAGTCCTGTTGGAAAATGAAATCTGCATCTCCAAAAAGTTGGTCAGCTGCAGGAAGCATGAAGTGCTCTAAAACTTCCTGGTACACTATATTGCCAAAAGTATTTGCTCACCTGCCTTGACTCACATATGAGCTTAAGTGACATCCCGTTCCTAATCCATAGGGTTCAATATGACGTCGGTCCACCCTTTGCAGCTAGAACAGCTTCAACTCTTCTGGGAAGGCTGTCCACAAGGTTTAGGAGTGTGTTTATGGGAATTTTTGACCATTCTTCCAGAAGCGCATTTGTGAGGTCGCACACTGATGTTGGACGAGAAGGCCTGGCTCTCAGTCTCCGCTCTAATTCATCCCAAAGGTGTTCTATCGGGTTGAGGTCAGGACTCTGTGCAGGCCAGTCAAGTTCATCCACACCAGACTCTGTCATCCATGTCTTTATGGACCTTGCTTTGTGCACTGGTGCACAGTCATGTTGGAAGAGGAAGGGGCCAGCTCCAAACTGTTCCCACAAAGTTGGGAGCATGGAATTGTCCAAAATGTCTTGGTATGCTGAAGCATTCAGAGTTCCTTTCACTGGAACTAAGGGGCCAAGCCCAGCTCCTGAAAAACAACCCCACACCATAATCCCCCCTCCACCAAACTTTACACTTGGCACAATGCAGTCAGACAAGTACCGTTCTCCTGGCAACCGCCAAACCCAGACCCGTCCATCAGATTGCCAGATGGAGAAGCGCGATTCGTCACTCCAGAGAACGCGTCTCCACTGCTCTAGAGTCCAGTGGCGGCGTGCTTTACACCACCGCATCCGATGCTTTTCATTGCACTTGGTGATGTATGGCTTGGATGCAGCTGCTCGCCCATGGAAACCCATTCCATGAAGCTCTCTGCGCACTGTTCTTGAGCTACATGAAGTTTGGAGGTCTGTAGTGATTGACTCTGCAGAAAGTTGGCGACCTCTTCGCACTATGCGCGTCAGCATCCGCTGACCCCGCTCCGTCAGTTTACGTGGCCTACCACTTCGTGGCTGAGTTGCTGTCGTTCCCAAACACTTCCATTTTCTTATAATACAGCTGACAGTTGACTGTGGAATATTTAGGAGCGAGGAAATTTCATGACTGGATTTGTTGCACAGGTGGCATCCTATCACAGTTCCACGCTGGAATTCACTGAGCTCCTGAGAGCGACCCATTCTTTCACAAATGTTTGTAAAAACAGTCTGCATGCCTAGGTGCTTGAATTTATACACCTGTGGCCATGGAAGTGATTGGAACACCTGATTCCAATAATTTGGATGGGTGAGCAAATACTTTTGGCAATATAGTGTATGTGGCTGCGTTGACCCTGGACCTCAGAAAACACAATGGACCAACACCAGCAGATGACATGGCACCCCAAACCATCACTGACTGTGGAAACTTTACACTGGACTTCAAGCAACGTGGATGAAGTGCCTCTCTTCTTTTCCTCCAGACTCTGGGACCTTGATTTCCAAAGGAAATGCAAAATTTACTTTCATCAGAGAACATGACTTTGGACCACTCACCAGCAGTCCAGTCCTGTTTCTCTTTAGCCCAGGCAAGACGCTTCTGACGCTGTCTGTGGTTCAAGAGTGGCTTGACACAAGGAATGCGACAGCAGAAACCCATGTCTTTCATACGTCTGTGTGTGGTGGTTCTTGAAGCACTCACTCCAGCTGCAGTCCACTCTTTGTGAATCTCCCCCACATTTTTGAATGGGTTTTGTTTCACAATCCTCTCCAGGGTGCGGTTATCTCTCTTGCTTGTACACTTTTTTCGACCACATCTTTTCCTTCCCTTCTCCTCTCTATTAATGTGCTTGGACACTGAGCTCTGTGAACAGCCAGCCTCTTTAGCGATGACCTTTTGTGTCTTGCCCTCCTTGTGCAAGGTGTCGATGGTCGTCTTTTGGACAACTGTCAAGTCAGCAGTCTTCCCCATGATTGTGTAGCCTATAGAACTAGACTGAAAGATCATTTAAAGGCTTTTGCAGGTGGTTTGAGTTAATTAGCTGATTAGAGTGTGGCACCAGGGGCCATCAATTTTGAACCTTTTCACAATATTCTAATTTTCTGATATGATGAATTTGAGATTTTCATTTGTTGTCATTTGTAATCATCAAAATTAAACAAAGTAAACATCTGAAATATATGAGTTTGTATGTAATGTATGAATATAATATACAAGTTTCACTTTTTAAATGGAATTACTGAAATCAATCTACTTTTTCATGATATTCTAATTTTATGACCAGCACCTGTATAGTTATGGTTCGTTAGCAGACATCTGCATAGGATAGTCAGCCATTATTCTTCAGTACTGGAGGTAAAACTCGTATAAAACCTGCAGAACAAGAGCTTATAAGACTATAGTCTGACAGGAAATTAAAGTCATACAGTTGAGTTTGAGTTATTCTAAAGCACCTCTTAGAAAACATGGACGGGATTGGCACATTACTCCCTGCACTATGCCGCCATCCTTGAAGGATCCCTGGGGAACTGGTGCTTCTCTCCAGAGGTTACTGACAGTCAGTCTGAGTAAGCTTGGTTAACAGAGAAAATCCATGCAAACACACATCCACACTGTTTATGGCAAATGAAGAACCAAGTTGGGATTTTTTTTTTTTTTGGACAGAAGTGCCACAGTAACATAAGAGGACACACAGTCCGGGATTTTAACGCAGGGTCCTCCTGCAGCAAGGTGACTGTGCCATTATCCAGCATTCTTTATTTCAGAATATCAGCGATTAATTTATATATCCCAGTGCGACTAAAATGGACAGGTGTGATCTCCAGGCCCTCAGATGGTTCTACACGAATATCTGACATGTTTGTTTTGTAGGCGAGAAATTTCCATCTATACATGATGTGAAGGGATCATCTATCACTCAGTTCATTCGAACCATTCATTTCTCTTTTTTTTTTTTTTTTTTTTTTTCAAGTCCAATACTGATTATTTGGACATAAGTTTAACGATCATCAATATGGCTGCAGATTTTTTGTCATTTTTTGGACTGATCATAAGGTCGGAGTTGCTTTATGTTATGCCAATTACGAGACAAAAAGGCACAATGATAACTAAACATTTCAAGAATAGGAAACAGAGGGAGCTGCAGTGTGTACGTGTCTCATAGGAATCAATTAATGTATCCCTGATGCAGACAGAAGAAAAAAAGGCTAACATCGGCTAAAAATATTGGCTGGCATTGTATCAGTCCGCCTGTAAAAGAAACCTTTCTTACTAGAAGTAGATGCACATTTGAGTTTATTCTATCTATATTAAATCCAATCAAAGACACACACACTGTTTGTGCTGCGTCTAGCATTGTGGAAGAACTTGGTCCTATTTGAAGACGTCAAAAAGCTTCTGGTTTGATTTAGGCTGGATTCTTGGTTAGGCTTTAAGATCCAAACTGGGCAGCTAAGAAAACCAAATGATTATCAGAAATACCGGTTTCACCATTTGTAATGTCGGTAACGTTGTTGGGAGCAATTCAAATCTTAGCAATTAATGGTCAGTGTTTTGTTTTTATTTTTATCTTTTTTGTTTTCTTTTTTTTCCTACTGAATAAAACCCATTATTTCGTGCCTTACTGCTGCAGCTGGTGGATCAGAGTAAGCAGGTCTCTGATCCTTTACACTAATGCTACATTCACACCGGACGCAGCAAAAGCAGCAAAATCGCGTCTCCTGCTTCGTTTTTGCTGCTTGTACCAGTTAGTTCTGACGCGCGGCTGAAGCAGCCTTGCTGCTCTCGCTGCGCGGTCCAAAAGTGGGTCTGACGCACGCTGGGCGGAGCTTTACTGTCCTTTCTTTGCCTTGCAGCTATATTTGCTGTGATCAGTGGGAATAAAGTAGTTTTAATATGTTTTTAAGTGAGAAAATACACCTGAAAACTTCATCAGTGCAGTCAGTTCATCCAGAGTACAATCCTG